TGTCTCTCAAACTGTTCTTTGGCCTCTTGAAGGTTCTTCTGGGCCATGTCTTCATACTTCTGCCTCATTTCATTCATGATGGCACCAAGGTTCCGACCTGGAGCAGCATCAACCTCCACGTTGACGGTGTTGCCCAGATGCCTGTGTAGGCTATCGACTTCCTATGAAAGTGAAAATCCTGGTTGATTTTAGTCTGAAGCACATTTTCAGATAAGGCTGGGCAGAAAAGACATAGGAAGTCTCCTGTCCTCTTTCATTGTGAATGAGTAAAAAAGAAAGAAAATAATAAATTGTTGTCCAGGTACTGCTCTAAGTCATTTAACCGATAACAACATTATGAAAAGAAGTTAGGGCTTATGTCACTATTGTCATTGTCAACACCGCTGTCACTACCACCACCAGCTCTCCCTCCTGCTGCTTCCCTTCCCCCTCCTATTATTGTTATTATATAGAATCATTCCATCGTTTCCAATACGACTTCCGAATATTTTCTCACCTCCTGATGCTCTTTTTTGAGGAGAGCTAGGTCTCTATTCAGATCTTCAATTTGAACCTCCAAATCTGTTTTTTGCAGGGTTAGATCATCAAAGACCTTACTCAGGCCTTGGAGATCGGCTTCCACTGTTAGGCGTATTCCCCTCTCAGTCTCAAACCTGTGAATTAATCAGTATACAGAGATAACTCATCCTTCTAAAGCCATTATAAGAGAGATAATCTAATATAATGAGATAGATTTTTTATGTGGCTTATGAGGAGATTAATTTCAATATTTTATAACATCCTTCTTTATACATTCATGAATTGTACATAAGAACCTAGGAGTCAGACAATTTGCTCAAGAATATAATCTGTGATTTGGAGTGACTGGTAAAAAGGCAATCTGAAATAATTTTGAACATTTCTAAATTCTAGAATATATTTTATAAGAAATTAAATTGTGTTAATTATTGTGTTGGCAAAGGGTTCTTAATATGGATATTAAATAATGGTTAGTTTTACTTAATAATGTACATGATCGATTTATTTTTATTACTTTGTAAACAGAGACTTCCAAAGTGAATTATCTCAAACAGTTCTACACCCTCCTCTAGAATCTTACATAAACACATATTCTCTCTCTCTCTCTTTCTCTCTCTCTCTCTCTCTCTCTCTGTGTGTGTGTGTGTGTGTAAATATATGTATATTTGAGACAGGGTCCCACTCTGTCACCCAGGCTGCAGTACAATGGTGCAATCATGGCTCACTGCAGCCTCGACCTCCTGGGCTAAAGCAATCCTCTCACCTCAGCCTCCCAAGTAGCTGGGATCACAGGCAAATGACACCATGCTAAGCTATTTTTTTTTTTTTTGGTATTTTTGTGTAGAGTCAGGGTTTCATCACGTTGCCCAAACTGTTCTCAAACTCCAGGACTCAAGAGAGTCACCCGCCTCAGCCTCTCAAAAGTGCTGGGATTATAGGCATTAGCCATCATGCCCTACCCAATTTCCTAAAATATCCAACTTTAAAAAATGACAATGCAATGGGACACTGAGTGCTAGGTAAAATTGGAACTAATGTACCTTTACTGCTTTCATCTTTGGATTTGATTTCCTATTTCCTCCTTGTTAATCCCCTGGAGCATTAAAAGGCTAACCTTCTAACCACAAAGGGCTTTTTGGGTTAATGCATTATATAAATTCAGGATGAAGAGGCCCTAGTGTGGAAGCTGTTTTCAAGGAACAGCTCTGGTCACACGTGGTGTGATGACTACAAAGAAAGTGAACTTTTTTTTTTTTTTGTTTGTTTGTTTTTTGAGACAAGATCTCACCCTGTTGCCCAGGCTGGAGTGCAATGGCACCATCTCAGCTCACTGCAACCTCTTCCTCCCAGGTTCAAGCAATTCTCCTGCCTCAGCCTCCCAAGTAGCTGGGATTACAGACATGTGCCACCACACCCAGCTAATTATCGTAGATTGGTCCTGGTTCTTTGGTTGGCCAGACCATCGTGTCACCCCTGGAATGTGGGTCATACACTTGCAGACACTTGAATGAACATGGAGAATTACTTGGAGAATCACCAAGCATAGACAAAAGACTCTCTTTAGACAATAGAAAGGCACTTAGGCAGAAGGAGAATTGTAAATTGCTTTGTTATTACTCCAAAGGGCAGAATTAGATATAGTGGGTTAAAAGGCAGATACCCAATTACTAAAAAAACATTTTAGCAACTAGTAATAACCAAGGAGAATAGTAGTTACTGGAGATGTTCAGTTACATGCTGGGGGATCAAGAGAGAGAGAGAAGTCCAAACCTGAGTGCCGGGCTAGCTTCTAACACATAGCTTCTAACCTCCTTTAGGCATCAAGATTCTGGAAATATTGAACAGTGGTTCCTTTACCAACAATGATATGGAAGGACTACTAAAGGAATTCTTGTTCATAAATGTTTGCCGTGTATTAGGGAACCTACTTCAGTCTGAAGTCCTCAGCAGCCAGTTTAGCATTATCAATTTGCAGGATACACCGAGAGTTTATCAGTTGAGCATCCTTAATCTGGAAAATACATGAGAAAGAATGACATTTTCTTTTTTTTTTTTTTTTTTTTGAATTGGAGTCTCACTCTGTCATCCAGGCTGGAGTGCAATGGTGCAATCTCGGCTTACTGCAACCTCCACCTCCTGGGTTCAAGTGATTCTCCTGCCTCAGCCTCCCTAGTAGCTGGGATTAGAGGTGTCCGCCACCACGCCCGGCTAATTTTTGCATTTTTAGTAGAGACGGGGCTGTCTCTACTAAAGACAGGCTTGTCTCAAACTCCTGACCTCAGGTGATCCTCCCACCTCGGCCTCCCAAAGTGCTGAGATTACAGGCGTGAGCCACCGCGCCTGGCCAAGAATGACATTTTCAGCTGAACAGGAGTTTACAAAGATTGAGTTTATCCTCAGCTACAGTGACTATTATGTCAAAAATGATGTTCATTTTGAGTATTTCTACATGAAAATAGATAGAAAAATCATGACATGGGTATTTAACATCGTAGAATCATAAAATGCAACTCTAGACCCCAGGGTTTGGTCTGCTTTCTTGTGATTTTATGGAAGGAGAAGTTAACTCACCTTGAATCATCAGACCTTATTGAGTGCCTTGCCTTTGATGTTTCTGCTTAGAACATTTCTGTTAGGCCCTCTTGCCTGGTGAACTCCCATTCCTCCCTCATATCTCAGGTTAAAACAACATTGCTTCAAAGGAGCCTTCACAGACGCTCTCAAATGCTGCACAAATGCTCTCTTCATGGATGATCTGCCTGTGCTCTCTATGCGGGTTCCCTCTGTGCATCCCTGTTTAATCGTGAATCATGTTGTGTCCACCATAATATTCTCCAGTGCCCAGCATGGTACCCAGCACCTAGTTAGTGTTCATTCAGTATTGGCCAAAAGCAAGAACACTTGTTAGGCTGGCCACGGTAGCTCACATCTGTGTTCCCAGCACTTTGGGAGGCCGAGGCAGGTGTATCACAAGGTCAACAGATCAAGACCAGCCTGACCAATATGGTGAAACTCCATCTCTACTAAGAATACAAAAATCAGCTGGGTGTGGTGGCGCATGCCTGTAGGCCTAGCTACTCAGGATACTGAGGCAGGAGGATCGCTGGAACCCGGGAGGTGGAGATTGTGGTGAGCACAGATGGCACCACTGCACTCCAGCCTTGGCAACAGAGCGAGATTCCATCTCAAAAAAAAAAAAAAAAAGAAAGAATACTTGTCATATAATGGATGCATATAGATAAAAAATGTAGGTGTAGAAGATGCTACAATGACTTTTTCTCTTTCAATGGATCCAGTTTTGGAGAGGGCTGCCTTCCTATGACTGGGACTGTCCAGCTCAGTGTGATGGATGGTCTGTGCCTGTGTATTTGAGATGAGTCAAAGTGGAGTCAGAAACACGAGACAGGTGTGGTTCGAACGTTTTCAGTGAGAGCCTGAGAAGGATGAACTTTATTCCATAAGGGCAATTTAAATACCATTGCTTCACATGCCCATAGTTTCTAAAATTCCAACACAACTCCCCACAGAGTCTGAATCAAATTATACTGATGTTTAGTACAATTCAAGAAACAGAGACTTGCTGGTAAGTAAGTGGACTTTGCTGTAAAGGAGTATGAATCTTAACATAGAAATGAAAATTAACATTTTTTTGGATTAGATAAGAACTTTAAGCAAGTGCTCTGTGTCATATCTGACATCTTCAATTAGGAGCAAAGTCTTCTGCTTTTATTCCATGCAAGTGATAAAACACAGAGCTCCACCTTTTTTTGATGACATAGGATGAGGTTGTGGTATGATTGCAATAAATATGAATTGGGGCGATAGAACATTTTATTACTGTAGAAGTAATTTCTGAACTGCTTGATGATGATGATCATGTTATTAAACAGGGCATTTAAAAACTCAGGCATCAGTATGACAATATTCCTTCGCTGCTGTTTCTACCCTGAGTAACTTTGTTATTTAAATCTGCAGTACAGTATTCTAATAGTCTTATTATAACATTTACTTAAATAAAAGTAGAAAAGTCTCTGAATTGGCTGGGGTTTCAAAACTTGATGAGGACTCAGTGAAAAACTAAGAGATTTCTCACATAATTTTTAGCTCTTTTCAGAAAGATTATTCACTATACACTTAGCCCTGATGTGGTAAGCTGTGACAAGGATACAGACGATAAGACTGGAGGATAAAATGTTCATATTTTGTATGTAGTTATATTAAACATTAAAAATAGTATGATTTAAAGTCATCCTATTATACAGTTAGGTACTCCAGCACTAAAGGTAGATGAAAGAATTGTTATAGATGTAACATTGTAGCCTAATTGGCTTTACAATGTCCATTTGGACCTACCTAACATAGATAGCCTCTTGGTTTATCTTGCAACTGAACACAGATTAGGAAACACAGGTGCCGTCTCTCACCTGATTTCGCAGCTCTTCAATCTGTCTGTAATATGCACTGTCGTCGCGACCGCCACTCGGGGCGTTGGCTTCGTACCACTGCTTGATCTGCACTTCAAGTTTGGAGTTGGACTCCTCCAGGGCCCGCACCTTCTCTAGGTAGCTCGCTAGACGGTCATTTAGGTTCTGCATGGCCATTTTCTCATTGCCAACAAACAGGTCCCCGCTGCCGATGAGATCGCTCCCATAGCTCACCGTGTTTCTGGAGGTGGTGGAGATGCGGGTGCCCCGGCCTCCAGCACCCCCATAAACGCTGGGTGCCATCCCGAGGTGCTGCATGCTGACTGCAGAGCCCTGCAAGGAGGAGCTCAGGCTTCTGTGGACGCTTCTGCGGCTGACATCCTTTGGCGTTACCGGGAGGGAGAACATAGCTTCAGGATGGCTGGGGCAGAGTCTGTCTCACGGAGGGTGTTGAGCTAGCCTTTTATGAAGTCCACAGGCAAGAAACTCCTCCTCTGCTGACATGTCACTAGGATTGGCACCACAGTCCACTTTGCCTTGCTTCCACGCCTCCACCCTTTGTATAGCAATATGTTAAGATGTTTAATTCAATTCCAGAAAATGCCACTAGAGGCATTTCTTGGAGGCTTTTCTCAGGGGAGACTTTTTTTTTTTTTTTTTTTTTTTTTT